CAGTACCTGACATGCATTTATACTCACATGGTTTATGCCCATGCAGTATTTTTATCCTCTCCCAGATATACAAGAATCAAATAATTTCTAGTTGCCTATAACCCCAACTGTCGTTTTGCATTTTGGCTCTGTCCTCCTTGTGTTTCCTCAGTCACACAACACAATTACAATAAGGCAAAATGCTACATACCGTAGCACAGTGGTCACCAATAGATCAGGTGGCCAGGAAGCGATCAAGTGTCAACACTTCAGCAGCCCTTTTCCTGCTGTGCTGTCCCTGGGCCTCTGCTATGGAAGTGTTCCTGAGAGCCTCCTGTTTGCTGTACAGGGTGGGAGAGGCTGAGAGGGGGCACTGATGTCAGGGTGTACCCCTCTTCCCACCCCTGTACTCCATCTCCACAGAGTGAGCAGAGCAGGGCGGGAAAGAGGCAGGACAAGGGCATTTGGGTTTGAGGTAGATCCTGGATTAATTTAAATTTAAAAAGTGATCTTGTGCTTAAAAAGGTTGCAGACTGCTGCTATAGCTGCATCTGTAGCCAAATACAATATGCACAAATAGCAAAGGAAGATTCACTTTTCTCTAGATATTCAAGGAGTGGAATGAAATACAGTTACTTTTCAATACATTTCATTTGTAACTCACATCACATGTTGTTCAGTGCTCTGTGAACAGGCTACATAATGAAGGAGCCATAATTAGTGATTACATGACCCTATAATCTGACTTTCAAAAATTTATGGACTTAAAATCTCAATCAACATTGCACCAGATCAATCATCTTAATCTGATGTTTGTGCATCTCCAATAAATCAATTTAATACAACAAAAAGTATGACTCACACAAGCCTAAGAACAAAATAACCTGAAGTACCAATATCAAGAAAAGTACTGGGAACAAAATTATGATTCGGACAACAAAAATTTTCTTGCTGCAACTCTTCGGATCCATCCAGAGCTCCATCACAGAGAACTGGAATGTAGGGGAAGTAGATGAGGAGCTAACAGAGATCTGCTCTCTGCACCCACGGAATGCTTAAGTTTCAATCCATGCTAACAGGGAAATAGGATTTTACTCTGCTCTTAGATGTGTCGATTAGGTCAGCTGCTAAATGGTCATCTGAAAAAACAAAATTCTCTCTCTCTCCATATATATATATATATATATAT